TAGATCCATCAGCCAAGGTGGGGTGAAGGTTTTCCTTGTGGACTGAGCCAATTGCATGGAGAAGTCATGGTTTTATCATATCAGAGTAGAACAGTTACCTTTTGTTTTCCTTTTAGGGCATGCATGGCGGCGGTGGAATGCAGGTAAGCAGCTTTTATTTATTTTCTTCTATTCCTTTCATCCTATTCTTTTTCCACCTAAACAAGTACCCCACTTTGTTGTGCTTACTTCAATTCTCCAGAGGTTAATCTCAGCCAGCTTTGCTGGGAATTCTCTGAGTTGCAGTCCACAAGTCTTAAAGTTGCCAAGGTTGGAGACCCCTGCCCCAAGGGACCCTTATACCTAAAAGAAGGGCCAATGCACAGTTTTGTTCCAATTGGTGGTTTTTCTCCTTAATGCTCATGACTCATCTACATGATCTAAATGTTCTTCCCATCCAAAACAGTTTTGCTTGTAAAATGGATTTCCTCACCTCCTTTTTCAGAGTTTATTTCGCCTAGAAATTTTGCACAATCCAGAAGGGCTGGTTTTTTCAAGACAGCCAAAATATTTAATAAAATAAACGTCTATCTTTGTAACCTAGTCAGTTATTTCACGTTACAGAACACATGAAACACAGTTATTCTGGCTATCAGTCTAACTGTCTTTCTGCAAGTTTTGTAATATATTAAACGCTAAGCAGAAGAAACAGCTCACATTCACACAAGTTAGCAATCCATAGAATAACAATAACAACCTATTCACATTTAGGGTGTTGTGTCAAAGCAGTGAGTAATCTAGTCCTTGACTTGATTAGATAACTGATGTTAGCACAATTTCATATATTCAAAGCAATCACATTGTGCAAGTTTCCTGGGAAAGCTTTAATACCAAAATCTATGTATATTAATTGTCCTGTTTTTTCAGTAATCAATTTGTGTACTAATCTATAAATCTAAAAAAAAAAAAAATACACATACAACTTTTTGGACCCTTTCACTCCATGGTTGTGTCAAACAACGCATAATATTTTGCCTGAAGGAATTCATATATGAGACACTAATGATGGTAGTGATGGCATGTTTGGAGAAGTCATAGCGTTATTATATCAGAGTAGAACATCTACGTTTTGATTTCCTTTTAGGGCGCGAATGGCGGTGGTGGAGATGGAATGCCGGTAAGTAGCTTTAGTTTATTTTCTTCTATTCCTTTTGTCATATTCTTTTTCCTCTGAAGATCTACCTCTGTATCCTTCTTCCCCCAAACATCTCCAGAGACCCCAGAGCATATTCACAACAGGAGGAGCCAAAACGTTCGGTCTTTTTTTTTTTTTTTAACCTTCCTTTCTAATAACTGAGTGTTAAAAATAGATCCCCAAACTACTATTCCGTCTGGAGACTGAGGAGCTGCATGGAAAATCATGTATTGAAGACCCTGATGGACAGAAAAATCTGTATATACAACGGTGACCATCTTTTCATTTTCTAACTGACTTGGAGAAGAAGGAGGGGGAGGAGAGGGAGTGGCAGAAGAGAGAGCAGCTTAGTGAAGATAAATAGGAAAGCATCTTTCCAAAATGAGGATGTCCCAAGTAAACTAGAGAAAGGAAGTCTTTACTCGCACTTTCTCGTCGCTGGCTATCTCCTGTAGTCAAAGGCAGCTTTTACCCAACCAAATGCAGCCGGTGTATTCAGAGAAAAGTGGTCTTTAAATTTTGTGGTATGTGCTTGGGAGGCCTTTTCTGAACCCTCTTCAGTGATCCTTTTTACACAGAGGAGGGGACAATGCACAGTTTTTCTCTTTGGTTGTTTTTCTCTATGGTTGTTTTTCTCCTGAAAGATCATGACTTATGTACACGTGTATCTTTTGGGTCCTTCCACTCCATGTTTGTGAAATTAGACATCGTTTTTAATCTGGAACTGAAGGAATTTATATACAAGATATGGAAGATGGTAGTGATGGCTTAATCGGAGAAGCCGTGATTGTTATCATATCAGAGTAGAAGGGTTAATTTTTGCTTTCCTTTTAGGGCATGCGTGGCGGTGGTGGAGGTGGAACGTGGGTAAGTAGCTTTTATTTATTTGCTGCCGTTCCTGAATATTCT